GATACATAGATACATAGATACATAGATACATAGATACATAGATACATAGATACATAGATACATAGATGCCTCTGTCTTGTAAGATGTTAGAAATTTCTAATGGGGAATGCCCACCTCCTTTCATTTTTAGAATCTCTTGCAGCTAATTAAATTAGGATTTAAAAAGAATTGGAATGATTTATCTCCCAAGTGTCATTGGGTGTAATGCAAGGTTTGTAAACTGCCTGTGAGACCCACACTTCCTTGAGAGACAATGGCAGGACCTTTTCCCCCTGCTGTATCAAAGCAGGATAATAAGGGCTGTGACATGAAAGGACCAAGGTTTATTTCTCCCTCTTTCAAACTCTGCCAGCCCCTTGTCTCTCTTGGCAGTGGACAACTGAAAAGTCATTAAGGTAACCAGCCTCTCCACTTCTTAAAGCTTGAAATGACCTTGAAATTCATGATGCCAGCCATTCGATACCGGCTTGGCCCTCCTCCCTTCCAAGAGGGAGACAAAATCCTGTCCCTTTGGCCTCAAGTACAGCTCCTCTTTGTGCAGAGGTCAAACAGGAGGCTGTTCTGTCTCAATGAAAGAGGAACAGAGATTCCTTTTTGTTATTGCTTAGGGAGAAAAAGAAAGGGAGAGAAAGACATTGGCAACTTGGCTTTTCATCAGCTCCTAATCTTCTCTGCAACAGAAGGTGCAATAGAGGACTGGTTTCAGAGAAAACTTTGCTCAAGCTAGTTTCTGGTGCCAGTCTCAGCTTTTCTTTTCCTAAAAACAAATGAACATGCAAGCAAGGACAAAGAGTTCTGGGGTGACTAATAATGAAAGTAGTGCAATTGGGGTGGGGGAAAAACCTCTATCCCCAAATACTCTTATTTGTGCCCAACTTTTGCAGCAATGGTACCCAAGGATAAATAAAGACCCAGTCTGCCTCTTAAGGGCCATCCTTGAAGCTCTTAAGAAACGTGATCCATCCCAAACACTAGTTATTTCTTGTTTTTGGATGAACATGCCTCAAATTATCAGGATATCAAAATTATCAATTTGAGTCTTTCTCCACCCACCCCCATCTTATCTAATTCTGGAATTAGCAGCTGCCATCTTGTCAGCAAGTGTTTGAACTACCAGGCAAAATGTTTCGGACAAAAAGTGGTAGGAGGGATGAAGGGAGAACATGTTTGTGTGAACACGTACAATACTCATGCACAGTCATGCATATTGACTTCACTGCATTTGTTTAGATTTTATACCTACAACCCTGTTTTTTGATCAATACAGTGATTTACCATATTTTTNAAAAAAAAACACAAATATGTCATCATTTGTCAATCATTAAGACATTTCTGTTCATTTTGTTTTGGAACCAGCCAATTATGCTGTGGCATCTACTCTGGGTGTCCTTGAGGGAGAGGGAACAATGTCTCATGGAAACCAATGATGCTTGGAGGCTATTCCCCTAATCCTTGCATTCCAATCCACCCTCTCCATTCTTCGTCAAACTGTGAGCAAAGTGCAATATAGGTGAAAGTTCGAGTCAGTCTTAGCACAAGGCAACAGAAGATCCAGTGCAACTGTAATGCACAATTCACAATATTAACTTGAAATAAATGTCCTTTGGTGACTCTTGTCATGGAGTATTTTGTTGGGATGAAAGAGGGAACTAAGTTGGAATCATGTCAATGAGTAAGACTAAAGTTTTGTAGGAGTGTATCTGAGTAATAGGCATGCAGTGACTCAGTGGCTAAGGTGCTGAGCTTCTCGATCATAAAAGTCAGCAGTTCGCCGGTTCGAATTCTTAGCACCAAGTAACAGAGTGGGCTCCTGTTACTTGTCCCAGCTTCTGCCAACCTAGCAGTTAGAAAGCATGTAAAAATAAAAGTAGAAAAATAGGAATCACCTTTGGTGGGAAGGTAACAGCATTCCATGCACCTTCAGTGTTTAGTCATGCTGGCCACATGACCATGGAGGGTCTTCGGACAGCACTGGCTCTTTGGCTTTGAAACAGAGATGAGCACTAACCCCTAGAGTTGGGAACGACTAGCACATATGTGCAAGGGAAACCTTTACCTTTTTACCTGAGTAATGCAGAAAGCAAGACGACTTTATTTCTTCATGTATCAGCAAACAGATAGCCCTTGATTTATGATCATTCAATTAATAGCCATTCAAAGTTATGACTGAGCTGCAAAAGGGACTTACAACTGGTTTTTTATACTTATGAACATTGTAGCATCCCTTTGTTCAGGTCAGGCCCAAGCCCGAAAAAGGCACAGCACTATCCAATTGAGTCCAATCCTTTATTTGATTACACCTAATTGACAGAACGTTGCCAAAATAAAGCTATAACTTCTAACCTACTAGATCAGTGATGGTGAACCTTTTCGGCACCGAGTGTCCAAACTGGAAGGTGCATGCATGCGCAAATGCCAGAGCACCAGAAACCCGAAGACCAGCTGGCCAGCACATGCATGCCTTTTTTTTTTTTTTTTTTGCCATTTTTCAGGCTGGCTTTTTGGGCCATTTTCGGGCCATTTTTCAAGCCAAAACAGCCCAAAAATGGCCTGAAAACAAGCTGGTTTTCGGGCCTTTTTCGGGCTGTTTTCTGGTGCTCTGATGCCCACGAAGACCAGCTGGAAACCAGAAGAGCACCTGGCTCTACATGCCACCTCTGGCACATGTGCCATAGGTTTGCCATCATGGTACTAGATAGATCCTGAAAGGAATGTGACAATGGTGGGTTTCAAAATTTTTTAGAACCTATTCTGTAGGTGTGGCCTGTTTTGTGGGAGTGGTTTGGTGATCTTGTGACCAGGTGGGAGTGGCTTGGTGGTCATATGACCGAGTGGGCATGGCCATCTTGGAAAATAAGCGAGTCCAGTGACCTTTTGTGACCTTGCAACGATCCCGGGCTTGCTTATAGCGCAGGGCCGCCAGAAAGCATGGGCATGGGGGCGGGAGCTTAGGCGGCACGGCCGGCATCTTTGACAAGTTCGGGGACCTCGCAAGGCCTTTGCAAGGTCCCCGGACTTGCCCAAGATGCCTGGCTGCCAGAAAGCATGGGCATGGGGGTGAGGGCAGGAGCTTACGTGACACGGCCAGTCTCCTAAGAACTCCTAGGTGCCGGCTGCACCACACAAACTACCGTCTGTCTCCCCGTGCTCAGAAAAGCAATTCCGGGAAGGTCCTTTGGTGGCGGCAGGTGTCCTAGAACCTGCCTGATAGCAAAGGACTTACCCGGGCTTCCTTTTCTAAACACGGGGAGATGGACGGTATTTTGCGCCGGCCACACCGTGTTCCCAAACCCTCCCATGCCGCGTTCTGCTGGAGCCAGACGCAGTGGCAACAGCAGCAGGAGGAAGCCGGCGCTTGTCGAGCTGCCGTGGTGAGGCATCCCTGGAGGAGCCGAAAACCTTGAGAGGTTTTTACTTTTGTTGTCAGTAAAGTGGGGGGAGCAAGTGGGGGGGGGGTCAGGTTAGGGGTGGGAGCGGTCCAGAACAGGGCCTCTGGAAGCTTAGGTACGGGAAGGCATTCTAAATTTCACGATTGGGTACGTGCATACCAGTGCGTACCGGCTGAAACCCACTCCTGGGATGCGGCTACCCTGAGCCTTTTCTTCCATCCTGCATCGGGAAAGTATAGCTCTTAATCTGGGCTTCTGTTTGATGGAATGTACCCCCTCTCCTTGAAAAAGCTCTGATTAGATAATAACTTTAACATTTACTCCTTGTAGTCTTTGCATTAATGCTTTAACAATGACAAAGGTGTTTCCAAATGCTTTTTGTCATTCTGAGCCACATCTTTTACTGTAAAGGATTTAAACAGGTCTAAAAATCAACACTCACTACTCATTAACATAAACATTTTAATTCTTTGTATAACTGTGAATTGGCTGCATTTCTGATCAGTCATCATCACAAATATATTTCAGGTTGCTCTGGTTCCAAACTCTACAGAAAATCTTGCAGTTATAAATCTTCTGCCTTTCTTTTTTGGTCCCTGCTGTTTCTAAGCAACAGAGGTATGTAACACAAATGTCAAAAAGGGAACATTTCTCTCTCCCGTTGATGCAGCAAAACTG